ACAACAACAACAACAACAACAACAGGAGCAGCAACAACAACAACAACAACAACAACAACAACAACAACAACAACAACAACAACGACGACGACGACGACGACGACGACAACAACAACAACAACAACAACAACAACAGCAGCAACAACAACAGCAGCAGCCGCAACAACAACAACAACAACAACAACAACAACAACAACAACAACGACAACAACAACAGCAACAACAACAACAACAACAACAACAACAACAACAACAACAACAACCATCATCATCATCATCAGCAGCAGCATCATCAGCAGCAGCTGCATCAGCATCAGCACTATTATCATCAGCAGCATCATCATCATGATCAGTATCATCAGCAGCAGCTGCATCAGCATCAGCACCATTATCATCAGCAGCATCAACAGCAGCATCAGCATCACCATCACCATCATCATCGCCATCGCCATCGCTATCACCATCACCATCCTACTCATCATCATAAGCATCATCGTCGACAGCATCGACCGAATCATCAGCATCACCATCACCATCAGCATCATCATCATCGTCATCATCATCATCATCATCATCAACAACCGAATCGGCATCATCTGCAGCAGCATGGTCATCTCAAATGGTCATCATCGTCGTCGTCATTCTCGTCGTCATCACACCTTCATCACCACCATCATCTTCGCACTATCACGTTCATTAATGGTGAAAATGCTCGTCGCTTTCCTGATGGTCCTCCGTCTCATCTTCATCCTCCCCCTCCATCTCACCTTGCAAAACCAATGAATACGTGCTACGCAGACAGATGGCAAATAAACTGTGCAAAGATATGTTGTGTGAGGCTTGCCGCTTAGCAGTTGCTTACATCACGTGGGCAAAGAATGTTGGGGACCATTTCCCTAGTACCCTGCTGGCCCTATTCTCGATTGGACATGGTCGCACCAATCCTAGGGAAAACGATAGCACCAATGAAAAACTCAAAAAATACCGCCCAAACGGGTTCCCAGAACGGATCGGACGAGGATCCCCCCGGACAGCTTTCCAAGGATCGTTAACCTGGGCATTCGCGCTTGGACTTCAACACCAGGTTACAGTGTAGAGCTCCACTGCTAACACGTAGAGAATATGATGGCGCCTCCTCGCGAGACGCGTGGGCTAGGACCACTTCAGGAACAGATTACAGCCGCGCCCTCAGAAAGCTGCAGGCCCCAGTGGGTGCCCCTGCCGACCCGATCCGCCCCCCCGCCGTGAGGACGCCCCTGCCGGCGCCGCTCGGTGCCGCACTCCTGCCACCAGCACAGGGGGGGCCCTCGGGCCCGCCGCCTGCGGCGGAGGGCGCGAGCGCAGGGCCGACGTCACCGCCCACGTCGTCCTCCTCCTCACTCCCCTCCGGGAGGAGGGAGGGAGGGGGGGGGGAGCAGGGACGGAGGAGGATGAGGAGAAAGAGAAGGAGGAGGAGGGAGAGGAAGGACGAAGAGGCGGAGGAGGATCAAGTTAGGAGGAGCAGAAAGAGCGAGAGAGGAAGGGGGGAGGAGGAAGGGGGGGGAGGAGAGGAGGGGGAGGGGGGGGGGAGGGGGAGGGGGAGGAAGGGGGAGGTAGACGAGAACGTGGTCATCCTAGCGGCACACAGGACCATGGCGGCGCGCTGGCAAGGTGCCTCGTAGTGAAAGAAGGAGCGGGCTTATCCAGTCACGACTGCGGCAGGCAGCTCTGTAAAGGCACGCCGTAGCGCTGCACGCTTGCTTCGCCTAAGGACGCGTGGCTGACGCTGACGCCGAAGCTGACGTCGACGACGACGACGACGACGACGACGACGACGACGACGACGACGACGACGACGACGACGACGACGACGGCGGCGGCGGCGGCGGCGACGACGACGACGCACACGCAGTCACATAGGCCTCCGGACGTGCGGTGAGAGATTAGACTTGATACGAGCAGGAGCACGCGAGGCGGCAAACTCTTTCAACACCGCGTGGCGAACTAATGGCCTGGGGCACACACGGGGACCACCCCCCACAAGATGCTTAAAGTGCGGACTGAGTGAATCCCACCAGCCCTCTGGGCGTAGGTGGACTGACGATGCTCCTTTTCCTCTTCGGAAACCCTGTTCCCTTTGGGGAGGGGTACCCTCGCCCTCCCCTCCCTGAGGTTTTTCCCAACCCTTCTGTGTTGGGCTCTCGCTTTGAGTAGAGAACTACTGGATTCACTCATCCTTCTCCTCCCCCCTCCTCCTGCCTCCTCCTGCGCTGATCCCTGGGAGGCTGCGAACAGCGCACCCGTCACCATTTTCGTGGGTTCCTGGGAACTCCAGCGGAGTCGGGGGTCACGCGGACCCATCGGGGATCTCGCTGCCCCCTGTGCGGCTGCGAACCGCGCAACTGTCACCACGTTCGTGGACAGGGGGCAGCAGATCTTCCCGCTCCGTCGTGCCGTCCGTCGTCCCCCGTGCCATGCGCTCAAAAAGAGATTGGCGCGGGGGGGGGGGGGGACACCTGGTCTCCCCGCTCCGTGCCGCCCGCCTCTGCGCGCCGCTGGCCCTCCCCGCTGAAAACGCTTCCCTCCAGCCCGCGGAGGAGCAGCGCGGGCGGAAAGGGGCCTTGCGCCGCCGAGAAGCTCTCGGCGCGCGCCGCGAGCGAACTCTCGGCGCGCGTCGCCAGCGGGGCCGCCATGGGCCCAGCAGGGGGGAAGGGGGGGGGGAAAGGGGGACGGAGAAGGGGGAGGGGGAGAAGGACAAGCTAGGTGCGCTCGCGTCATATCTGACGTGATGCAGGCGCAGGTCCCCTCTCTATTCGCGCAATCGGATGTCGCAGCATGGCATAGCATTACACGGCATAGCTTGGTGTCGAAGATCAACGCGTAACGTGACTTAGCATGGCGTGGCGACGCCCCAAGACGGGGGGGCTTCTGCGGCCAAAAAATCAACGAATCGACACCGAATGTGTACTCACTTCCGATGGTTCTTCCGGAGGCCATTTTCTAGACCTGGGGCCGACTTGGAAGGACCGAAAACCATGCCGGGGCATGGCACTCGAAATAATGACGCCAGCGCTGCAGCGGGAGCACGATTCGGAACGAGCGGTAGCCCGAAAATGAGGCCAGCGTTTCAGCGGGAGCAGCATTTTGAGAAAAAAACTCAGCGCGGAAGCGCGGACATGAGGACGCGTAGCCTGACATGGCATGGCGTGGCGACGCCCTAATCCGCGGCCCCAAAAATCAACGAATCGTCACCGAATGTGTACTCACTTCCGATAATTTCTTCGGGGGTCCATTCTATAGATTTTGGGGCCTATTTGGAAGGACCGAGAACCGTGCCGTGGCATGGCGCTGGAAATAATGGCGCCAACGATGCAGCGGAAGCACGATTCGGAACGAGCGGAAGCGCGGAAATGAGCCCAGCGCTGCAGCAGGAGCGCGGTAGCCCGAAAATGAGGCCAGCGCTTCAGCGAGAGCAGCATTGTGAAAAAAACAAGCGACTACCAAACTCCCGGGAATCTTTTTTGTAAAAGCCCATACGCGGAGGGGGGGCCGGACATTCCTTGGACGCCACCAGGGGAGAGAGGAGAGTAGTAACACTGAGTAGTAGTCATATGATGCAACTGTAGATGGAAAGGGTGAGGGAGAAGGGTGAGGGAGAAGGGGGAGGGAGAAGGGGGAGGAAGGGGAGGAAGGGGAAGGGGGAGGCCCAGACCTCCACGGTCCAGGTTCGAGGATCGAGGCCGTTGGATGCTTTTTGGCGTCACTGGAAACCCTGGGGCGCTCTCGTGGCCGCGGCTGGACGCAGCTGGAAAATCTGGCCGGGACGATGCTCGGTGATGGTCAGAGAAGCGGATGCTGTTGGGAAATGGGCACGCCAGCCCAGACCTCCAAGCGTCGCAAATGCTCCTTAAGGGCGATGTTTCACAATGCAGTGCTCAGTGAGGGCATGCTCGTGCCCCAGCGCCATCCAGAGACGGCCCGCGAGGAACAAACAGTCCCAGGGATAGGGCCGAGAGCTCCGAGGCCCTAGTCGCGAACAAAAGCAGATCGTAGGTCTGGGGAGGAAGCGGGAGAACGAGGAGGAGGACAACGAGGGCTAGTGCTAGGGCGAGACCGAGGACAAGGAGGAGCGTGGCAAGGAGGGGAGGGGCGAGGGAGGGCGAGGGAGGGGACGGAGCGATTCGCGGGCCAATAAGCGCGTCGGTAGGCGCCAGCGAGCCCTCTACAGATCGCTGCCACCACGAGCTCCACGCTCGCCCGCCTGCACGCACACGCGCCGCATCGGCGTTCCCTTTCTCCAACCCCACTCCCTCCCATTCCAATCACACCTACCAGCCCCGCCTCTCCCCTTCGACCCCCATCCCCTCAGACTCCATAAGCCAACTCCTCCCCTCAGATCCCCTCCCCGTCCTTGCCCTCCCTGCACCCACCCTCTCCCCAAACTCCCTCACCCTCATCCACCCCTCCCTCCCTCCCTCCCTCCGTCCATCCATCCCCCTCTTCCTCTCTTCCTCGCCGCCCGTCGTCGCCCGCCTTGTCGTCCGTCACCGCCGCCGCTGCCAGGCACCCGGCTGGCCTGACCGCTCCCTCCTCCCCGTCCCTCCTCCACCCCTCCCTGCTCCACTCTCCATCCTCCTCCCCCTCCCCCTCCCCCCTCCCCCCTCCTCCCTCCCTCAGCCGAACCGCTCCCTCCTCGCCCTCCTTGCTCGCCTGACTCTCGCCCCCGTCGCCCCTCGTCCCCTCGGCCCAACTGCACATGGCAGGGCCGCGCGAGCAGAGCATCGCCGAGGTGAGAGGGCGAGGAGAAGGAGCGGCAACGGCAGCGGGGGCAGGGGCAGGAGCAGGAAGAATGGCAGCAAGAGCAGGACGAGTTGACGAGTGCCCAGCGCTGGCTTGCGAAAACGGGCGGACTCCAGGCGACCGTCCACTCTGGAGGACTGCGTGACCGACTCCTCGGGCGCCCGGGCACCCAGGAGCACCCGCCCTCCATGCGCATCTGGCGCCTCTGCCCCCCCGCCCCTGCTCTTTTGCGCGCCGCGGGCCTCTTCGAGCCGGCGCAGGACGCGGCACGCGCCTCGAGACGAGGGCGGTCCATGCCGAAGCTCCAGGTCCAGCAGCCGTTGAAAGATGGTCCAGTAGCCCTGTCGGAAGACGGAGGCGACTCCTTCCCGCAGGTTGCCCTCGGCCAACATGCCAAACGCCACATGCCCTTTCGCACAAAAGCTACATGCCTTGGAGGAAGCAATGCTGCCCACGGCTCCTCGTCAGTGACGAGTGATGAAATAATTGAATGATGAAACCACGCAAGACTGCCATGAAGGCCAGGCCAGCCAGGCCCTTCATCCCGCTTCACTACGCTTCTCGACCTCCTCCTCCTCCTCCTCCACCTGCTCCTCCTCCTCCTCCATCGTCGTCCTCGTCGACGTCGCCGTCGTCGTCCTCGTCGTCGACGACGTCATCATCATCATCATAATCATCATCATCATCATCATCATCATCATCATCATCATCATCATCATCATCATCATCATCATCATCATCATCATCATCATCATCATCATCATCATCATCATCATCAGCAGCAGCAGCAGCATCAGCATCATCACCAGCATCAGCATCAGCATCGTCATCAGCATCATCAACATCATCATCATCATCAGCATCATCAGCATCAGCATCAGCATCAGCATCATCAGCATCATCAGCAGCATGATCATCAGCAGCAGCAGCATCAGCATCATCAGCATCATCATCGTCATCATCATCATCATCATCATCATCAGTTATATCCTTCATTCGTATCATCATCGTTATCAACATCAGCACCATCATCAACACCAGCATAAAAATCAGCATCAGCATCAGCATCGTCAACAGTCCACATCATCATCAGCATCATGTTCAGCATCAGCATCATCATCATCATCATCATCAGTATCATCAACATCGTCATCGTCACCATCATCAGCATCATCAGCATCAGCAGCACCAGCATCATCGTCATCACAATAAGCATCATCATCATCAGCATCATCATCATCGTCATCGTCATCAGCATCATCGTCGTGGTCCTCGTCATCACAATCATCATCAATGTAAGCAGCATCATCAGCATCAGATTCATCATCATGAACATCATCAACAGCATCATCATCGTCGTCGTGAGCATGGTCAGTATCGTCATCATCGTCATCATCGTCATCATCGTCATCGTCATCATCATATGCGTACTCATCATCATCTTCAGCATCATCCTCATCACCAGCATCATCAGCATCATCATCGTCATCGTCGCCACCATCACCATCATCATCCTCATCAGCATCAGCATCAACATCAGGATCATCATCCTCATCATCAGCATCACCATCATCATCCTCAATAACATTATGAGCTACATCATGAGCAGCAGCATCATCATCGTCATCAGCATCACCACCATCATCATCATCATCATGATTCCCATCATCATCAGCATCATCAGAATCAGCATCATCATAATCAGCATCAGTGTCGTCATTATCATCAGCATCAGCATCAGCATCATCGTCACTAGTACCATCATTCGTATCATCGTCATCATCATCATCATCAGCATCATCATCATCATCAGCAGCAGCAGCATCATCATGACAACCTCCCCCATCATCATCACCACCAGAATCATCATAACCATCATCACCACCAGCATCACCATATCCCCCTCTCCCCGTCCGTCAGCAAGGAGCGAAATCATTCAGAGCAACAGAGCGTCGTCGCCGTCGCCTTTGTGGTCATCGCCGTCGATCGCCGATCGTGCACCGTGAGTCGTGCGTCGTGAGTCGCGTGTCGCACTCCTGTGGGACCGCATCAAGTCCTCCTACTTTCCCCGCCGTCATCCTGACAAAACCAATACTGACCTCTGCTCACCCTCCTCCTCCTCTTCCTCCTCCTCATCTTCATCCGTGAACGCCTTCTCCTGACCCGTTTCTCCTGCTCCTCCACCTCCTCGTCCTCCTCCTCCTCCTCATCCCTCTCCTCCTGCTCACGCCCATCCTTCCCCACACAGAGAACCCACATACACACACAAGCACTAACTGCTATGAGAGGAAAGCATCCAAGGGTCAGGCGGGTCACGAGAAAGTCCAAGATGGCTCCAATGCTGCCAACCGGAGTACGCAAAATGGCCCAGCCTGGCCCCAGATTGCTAACAGCCTGGCTCCAAGAAGCCTCGAGGTGGCTCGCCCTGGCCCTGGAGCCTCCCAGGACGCCCATGAGAAACAGAATCAAAATTGTGGGTATCCTCGCCTGTTCGTCGTCCGATTGGCCTTGGGCCTTGGATGCATCTAGGTGTTCCCGTGATAGTCCAAGAGAACCATACGAGGACCCAAAGGGTACCAGAGAAAGCCCCAAGGGCTCGCAAAAGCACCCCAAGAGAACCCCGGGAGGCCCCCTAGAGGTGACTTGACCGGTCGACCCAAATCGAGCCCCGAAAGCTCTCGAGAGGGCATGAGGAAGCCTCATGAGGGGCCCAAGAGCCCCCAAGAGCATCCTGAATGGGCCTATGGGTGCTATGTATGATGCCACGTGTTTGGTTCGGCGGCCTCCTGCATAGAGCCCAAGAGGGCTCCAGAGGGCCTTCAAGATGCTCCGAGAGGGCCCCAAGCGAGCCGCGTGCGTGGGTGGGGGGAGAAGGGTAGCTAAATCTAAGCTAAGCTACGATTGAGGCAGAGGTAATAGACGCTACTTGAAAGTTGGAAAGGTCAGACCAAGCCCACATCAGTTCAGCTACGCTGAGCTAAGCTGCGCTCGGCTGCCAGATTAAATTAAAGCTATGATGAAAGAGGTTTGGCACAGCCGAGGTTGATTCCTTGAGCTATGACTAGTGCACATACGCTATATCGACGACCTGATTCGGCTGATCCCCGCATAGGTTAACAGGCGTCCTCGCACTCTCTCCCCCTCGCACGGCAATGCGCCTAGGAATCGTTTCTGGATGGGCTGGCGGGAAGATGCGAAGCTTGAAGAACTACCACTCGTGCGCAATAAGGTCCATCGCCACTTGGACTTGGCAGGCTCGTCCAGACAGTCTTGCCGCGCCTGAGACAGGCAGGCCACCGACGTCGCTTAAAGATGGCAGGCCGTCGTCCTGTCCCCGCCCTCAAGAGATTAAACAATTGCAGTAAATACGCTGAACTGTGCATACGCTGAGCTGTACATGCATCGCGTTCAAACCCTCCTCGTCCTACTCCTTATATTCCTCTAGCTTGTCCTGCTCCTCCTCATCCGTTTCCCCGCGTTGTCACGCCCAACGCTGTGACACGCTGCGCACGGTCCGTTACAGACACCGACGCTAGACCGCGGCATACTCTCACATGCGAAGTGGCCATTCCCTTCTCTGGGCATGTTTGGAGATCCCACGAGAGACCACAGCCAGGACCGCCCTCTTGCCCCCCCCCCCGCCCCGAGTCTTCTAACAGAGGTTATGAGTATGTTCGCTCTCGGGTCATGGAGCATGCTTTCGAGTCAATCAGCTGGCCACCGTTGGGGCGTCAGGCAGCCATTCGTGCTCGTGAAATTTTCTAGCACAGGATCTAGACTCCTGGGGCCGACAAGACTGGCGAAATGGCTGAGTTCGCCATGTCTACATAGCGCGGGGAGGAGGCGGCTCGTCTTGCACTGGGGCATAGGCTGGACCGTCCATTGCTCGTGACAGCAATTTCTGATAATCTCAAGGACCCAGGAGCCATGGCAGCGCAAACTGTCACGGGCATTAAGCATCAGTTCTTGCTATCCACCTATGCTGAGAACGCGTGTTTCCCCTCCCCCCTCCCCCTTCTCCCCCTCCTCCTCCTGCTCCTCCTCCTCCTCCTCCTCCTCCTCCTCCTCCTCCTCCTCTCCTCCTCCTCCTCCTCCTCCTCCTCCTCCTCCTCCTCCTCCTCCTCCTCCTCCTCCTCCTCCTCCTCCTCCTCTCTCCTCCCTCCTCCTCCTCCTCCTCCTCCTCCTCCTCCTCCTCCCTCCTCCTCCTCCTCCTCCTCCTCCTCCTCCTCCTCCTCTCCTCCTCCTCCCTCCTCCTCCCTCCTCCCCCTCCTGCTCCTCATTATCCTCACCAGCATCATGATTCCCACGTCAGCATCATCATCATCATCAGCAGTCAGCATCATCATCAGCATCATCATCATCATCATCATCATCATCATCAGCATCATCATCATCATCATCATCATCATCATCATCATCATCATCATCATCATCATCATCATCATCATCATCATCATCATCATCATCATCATCATCATCATCATCATCATCATCATCATCATCATCATCATCATCATCATCATCATCATCATCATCATCATCATCATCATCATCATCATCATCATCATCATCATCATCATCATCATCATCATCATCATCATCATCATCATCATCATCATCATCATCATCATCATCATCATCATCATCATCATCATCATCATCATCATCATCATCATCATCATCATCATCATCATCATCATCATCATCATCATCGTTATCATCATCAGCATCATCATCAGCATCATCATCATCGCCGTCGTCATCGTCGTCGTCATCATCATCCTGACACCCTCCCACCTTGCAAGCTGCCGGACGAGTGGGCGCGGACTCAGCCCCCCGAGCCTCAGGCAGCAGCACGAGCCTCCTCGGCCACGCCCGCCGCCACTAATACTGGCCCTGCATGCGCCTGGTGTACGGGGCCACGTACGGCGCCTGGCTCTCCAGAAACGGGGGAAGAAGGGCCGGCAGAAGACGGCCAGACACTCCAAGCGTGCACCCTCCCTGCAAGGTGCGAGGGGGAACGGTGAGCGCGAAATGTCTGATCGAAGAGGATGTGCACAAGGTGGAGGGCACGCTGCCCCCAACAGGATTAGGGACGTCAGAGCAGAGAGCCGAGGGAGACAGGCTTCGGAGAGCAAGGCCCACAGCGCCAAACGGAAGAGGGAGCAGACGGGTAATGAATTGGTGTTGGCCCGTACAGGCGAACCAACCGTGCGCCAGCGACGCGCGATTCCAAGCCCTTGCCAACCACCCTACTCCTCTCACCACACACACACACACACGCGCTCACAAAAACAAGATGTCATGGCCCCTGGCACCGCACACCCTGGCACGCTGGGGCGATATGCTTTGCCCCCCCGCCCGCTCCCCACGACCACTGCGAGCATCACCAGCCGCACCCGCCACTCTGGGCGGGCGGCACGCAGCCTCCCATGGCGGTCCCCATGGGCCCCCCTTCCAGGATGGCGACTCGATAAGGCTTCCAACATGCCCGTGGGGGCTCGGACACAACCACAGAGGCCCGAAGAGGCCCTGAGAGATGCCTAGGGATGGGGCATGTTGGCCAGCGTGCGGTCTGAGGGGTCGCACATCTGGTGGGCCACGAAATTCCTAAGCTGGACCTGGCCAGCTTGGCCATTTAGCCAAAGTGGCTGCAAAGATGCGGGGGATGTCGTCTACAATCTGGCCTGTGTTCGCGGCCGCGGTTCGGCGACACAAGACACTACGGTTAGGGACCAAAAACACGATGAAGTGTGCTTCCCAGGCTTTTCGGCTCCAGGTGGCATCTGAAGCGCCTAAGGTGTCCTAAAGCGCCTCATCCTCCTCCTCCTCCTCGTCCTCGTGCGGAACACGAACTAGAGGAAACGCACGACGTGCGTCCCAGTGGCTACGCGCCGGAGGACGACCCACAGGAAGCGCGCGCCAGAGGACGACCCGGAGAAAGCACGCGAGGTACGGGCCCCATAGGGAGGGGGCTCCCGCCTGAGACTTCCTCGCAATTCACTCACAGACAAGGCTACCGCCTGATACTTCCTCCACATTCAGGCCTAAGGGGCCGAAAAATGACGACGGTCACAGGAGGCCGGTGACCTGCCGCGGATTCGAACATGAAGCGCGGGCCCCATAGAGAGGGGGCTCCCGCCTGAGACTTCCTCGCAATTCACTCACAGACGAAGATCCAGCCTGATACCTCCTCCATATTCAGGCCTCAGGAGCCCAAAGGTGACGACTGTTACAGGAGACCGATGACCCGCCTCGAATTTGAACATGATGTTCGGGCCCCATAGAGAGGGGGCTCCCGCCTGAAACTTCCTCGCAATTCACTCACAGACGAGGCTCCCGCCCGAGACGACACACAGGCGAGTGATGATCATGATGATGTGAGTGATGATGATGATGATGATGATGATGATGATGATGATGATGATGATGATGATGATGATTATGATGATGATGATGATGATGATGATGATGATGATGATGATGATGATAATGATAATGAAAATGATAATGATAATGAAAATGATAATGATAATGATGATGATGGTGGTGATGATGATGATGATGGTGATGGTGATGGTGATGGTGATGGTGATGGTGATGGTGATGATGATGATAATGATGATGATGATTATGATGATGATGATTGAGATGCTGATGAGGCCAGTGGTGATGATGGTGTGTGAGTGATTGAGTGCGTGATAGTGCGATCGTGTGTGGTGAGTGTGTGACTGATGATGATGGGGTGATTGATTGAGTGTGAGTGATTGATTGCGTAATGGAGTGATCGTGTGTGGTGAGTGTGTGACTGATGATGATGGTGCGAATGATTGAGTGAGAGTGTGCGAGGGGAGAAGAAGCTGAAGGTGTTATGATGATGATGATGATGATGATGATGATGATGATGATGGTGCGTGAGCGATTGATCGAGTGAACGTGCGAAGGCAGAAGAGGAGAGAGGGTGAGGTGACAGGTCTGCGCGGGGTGTCCAGAGAAAACAAGAACCCCACTTAAATGTCTGCCTCTCGGGGCTCTCTCGAAAACCAGTTTGGAATACCTTGGGGCGGGTTGAACGCCTCTTTGACCGTCTCGGAACAATGGTGGCGCTGCGGCCGCTGTCGGGCCCTGTGGGATCCCTCGGCGGCCTTCGTGGCGTGCCCAAGCTCATTTGGGGGGCTACCTCGGGGCCTCTTGAGCTATCTGGGGTGCGTCTTGTCCTTTGCGCCCTCGTGGGGTGTGTTGGGGCTCTCTTGGACGCATCTTGTGCTGTCTCTGGGCTTCCGGCAGCGGAGCAGGCGCGACAACAGGAAACTCTAGGAAAAACTATGGAAATGCAATGATTTCTGTCTAAAGAGGCTCTCTCGGCGAGTAGCTTGGAGCCCTCTTGGGGCGTCTTGAAGGCCTCGTGGGCCGTCTCGAAGCAATGGTGGGCGTGCTGGGAGCGTTTCGGCTGCTGGGGGAATTCGACGTGCTCCAGAGGAACTCGTACAGAGCACGTTCAAATTGAGAACACCGCAGGGGGGGGTCGGACCGACGACGTCCTGGGCAAGGGCATTCGGGGCCGGGTGCAAAGGAAATCATACGTGGCTGCGTGTTCTGGAGAAGCGCTTCCAGAGCACACAGAAACGGGAGCTGGCGGGCCTCTTTGAGTCTCCTGGGAGCCTTCTGGGGGCGTCGTCGGTCCTCTGAGGGGCGCCTCTGGGGCACATGAGAGACTGTTGGGGCCATGTTGGGGCACAAGGCTCGAAGCCGTCTTGGAGGCCTCAGAGGCCGTCTTGGGAGCGTCTTGGGGGTGGCGCCCTTCGGGGTTCCCCTGGGGCTCTCGTGGAAGCCTCTTGGGCCATCCTGGAGCGATGATAGAAGCCCTCTCAGGCCGCCCTATGGCTGTTCTGGGCCAGAAGGGGGCTCTGACCGTCTTGGGCTTCTCTTGAGGATGTCTTGAGCCCCGCTCTGAGCTCTCTTGAGGGCCTCTTGGGGCCGTCCTGGGCCGTCTTGTGGCTCTTTGGGGCAGCCTTGAGACCCTCTTGGACTGTCTTGGGGCCCTCTTCGGCCGTCTTGGGCCGTCTTGGCCGTCTTGGGGCGATCTGTTTTGCCTCTTGGTCAGTATTGGACCGCCGGAAGCACGAACAGACAAGAACCCCAATAATCGTGAAAAACCATTTGGAAATCGTTGTTTGGGCTTCTTCAGGCGTTGTCGGGGGTCCCCTTCAGAACCTCTTAAACCGTCTAGGAGGCCTTGTGGACAGTCTCGATGCCATCTGAAACCATCTTGGAACGCTCTTGCGCGATCTAGGGTTCTTGAGGAGGGCTGTTGGGCCGCCTAGGAGCCGTCTTGGGGCTCTCTCGGTGGCAGGGAGCCTCGGAGGCGAGGCTCCTGGAGACCCGGCTCGCCCATGGCGAGTCGAGGCACCTGGCAGGGAGCCGCCGACCGTGGAGTCTGGGGGGTCTGGCGCGCCCATGGCGAATCGGGGCACCTGGCAGGGAGCCCTCGGGGCTCCCGACCCTGTACCCAAGTGAATATAAGACCTATACGACCACCCTTCGGGTGAAAGGAGGCTTCCGGGGGTGGAGAGGGGGGCGAACCAACATCTGACTCAATCGATCTATCGATCGCACTCAATGGGACACCACGAGACACCACGGGACACCGCGGGACACTTGTCGAACTCACTATCGATCTCACTATCGATCTCGTTTTTTGAGACACCACGGGACACCACGGGACACCTCGGGGCACCACGGGACACCGCGGGACACCTCTCGATCTCACTATCGATCTCACGATCGATCTCACTGTCGATCTCACGATCGATATCATCATCGATCTCGCTCAACGGGACACCACGGGACACCACAGGACACAACGGGACACCGCGGGACACCGCGAGCCACCGCCGGACGGTCGGACGGACGGACGGGGGGGGAGAATCATTTGACTTGACTTCGCCCTAGCAACTGCGGACACCACGGGACACCACGGGACACCGCGGGACACAGCGGGACATCGCGAGCCACCGCCGGACGGGCGGGCGGGGGAGAATCATTTTTTGACTTCACCCTGGTAAGGGTGGACACCACGAGACACCACGGGAAACCACGGGACTCTGCGGGACACCGCGGGCAACCGCCAGACGGGCGGGAGGGGGAGAATCATTTGCTTTGACTACGCCATAGCAGCGGCGGGTTCATTCCTCTCGCGCGCCCACGCAGCTTCGCCTCGCCCGCACTCACGACACGATCGAGACGACACGATTTTCCCTTTGGGGATATCCGTTCCACTGCGATCGCACCCCCAACCTCCATATATATATATATATATATATATATATATATATATATACATACATACATACATATACATACATACATACATGTGTATATATACACACATACACATACATATGCATATACATATACATACATACCTACATATACATACACATATACAAATACATATACATATATACATATACATATACATGTACATGTACATATACATAAACATATACATATACATAAACATATACATACATATATATATATATATATATATATATATATATATACATATACATAAACATATACATATACATATACATATACATATACATGTGTATATATATACATATACATATACATAAACATATACATATACATATACATAGACATAGACATAGACATAGACATATACATAGACATATACATATGCATATACGTCGGAAGTGACGGGGTGAGATCGAAGTGGAACGGAGAGCCCCCCTACCGGGAAATCGGTTTCGGTTTCGTTTTCGTGCACGCCGTGCGTGCGGGCGAAGCGAAGCTGCGTGGGCTGGCGAAAAATAACTCTCCTGTAGCTGAGGCGCGGCCGGACCAAAAATCCCCCTTCCGGCAACCGGTGCCGCGCGGTGTCCCGCCGGTGTCCCGCTCGGGGG